GAGAAATTTGCTAGCTAGATAACTTCGGAACCAAACTAGAACTACAGCTGATCCAAGTATTCTAAAATGTAGACACAGTTGATTATTTCATCTCCGTGAGAGCGATGTTTCAATTTTCGGGGAAAAATGAAAATGAAACTTACAGCGAGTTCATCGAAATAAGACTGTACGATCGCCTCTGCGTAGCGATTTTTTACAGCTGCTTGTTGTCGCTCCTGCAATTATATTAGCAGATTAAGAAATTCAGTCACACTTTGGCAAATTGTTCCATTTACAGTTCCATTAGTTTTCTGATTTCATTGTTCTTAGAATAGCCCTGTTCTAGAAAGAGAATCTAAAAACCGATCGTTTTATACTGCTGTATTCAATTCACACTTAGATGTAAAAAATTTTGGGAGAAACACACAACCTTCATGATTTTTCGTCGTTCGTTAGCAGCGTGGACAAGATCTGGATAGAGTGAGGTACTCGGGGCAATATTTTGGCAAGCCGTTACTTCATTGCCACAGTTGCTGTCGCTGCTACTGCTGCTGCTAGCCCCCGATGAAGCCGCGGCACGATCCACCACGGTTGCTAGAAGCGCATCAACTCCACCATTTAAACGAGCGGCTCGACGTGCCACTACTTCTTCCGCCGCTCGCATACGTTCGTTCAACTGCAACATGGAAATTCCCTGATAAAGTGGCATTGTTTCACAGGGTCTTAGCACATCGAGACGCAAAAGAGGACGCAAGCTTCATCTGCTAGTAATTGACTCTAGAAGTTTTAGGACGGTATGAAAATTCGGCTGAAAAAACGACTGTAAACTGATTCATGTTAATGTCTTCAGCTGTTGGGTGTCGCGCTGCCGCAAAATAATAGACATTAATTTCAGAGAAATTAAAAGAGTGATGTTAAATGAAAGAAAGTGATCTGTTTAAATGATATTCGCTTTTCTGTAGATTATAGCGACATTTTTTGCTAGACTGATGGGCACAACGCACTGGGAAGTAACTCCAATGTCATGCAATAATTTGATGGTTAGACTCCATCGATAGGATAATTAATTCGTCAACGGCTCTTCATGCGCTTCAATTGTTAATTGGTATTCACACATATTATGGAGTTAAACATCTCATCAGCCCAGTTGTAAACGATTTCTGAAACCGACAGCCTTGCCAACGGTTCGCCACTACTAACATTTGCGACCTTACTTTCTTCAAGCCTCTACCTCTCATACATAACGAATGTGGAGAGGATTTTGACTTTGAATTTTGATAGAGACCATCCTTTAAGGAATAAATTTTGTGGATGGATAATCGTGGCATCAAGAATCAAACAGATATTTTTTGCCTATGATTAAACATGAAATGTGTCCCCAAGCAATAATAACTGAGGTTTCTAAATTCCTGTAAACAACCCTGTGAGCATACCAGTAGTCTCTTCCAACGGTTCTTCAGTTACGTACTTTTCTTCAGCAGAATAACTGATCCTAATATAAAATTGTTCTCTAGGGAAAGTTGCCTGGGACCAAACCAGATATTCACAGAAAAAAATTTTGGGAAACAAATCACTTCATAGAACAACCACTTTTCGATAGACATTCAGCAAATATTGGGCATAAATCCAGTACTGCAAGTGTCTCCTTTGATTATGAAATCAGAACTCCTGTTGCTAGTGGAGCTATTTTTATAAAAGACATAAGTCGGAGATAATGGGTCATCCGAATCGTCCGTCGCTGTTTATTACACTAATAATCCCGATGCACCGAATATAGAATATCTGTATGTATGTAACCGAAACATAAACAATTATAGTATCTGAGACTATTACGTAAATTCTGCTGGCTTTTTTTAGATATCCGAACATTTTTACATTGCATCGCAAAAGATGGGAGCTCAATCGTCTTTGGGTCGTGCAGTGGTATTCTTAGCGCCTACGACCATAAATGAGATGGACCTGGGCCGGTTTTTTTTCCAGGAGTATTTTCAGTGAAAAAAGTTGAGAATAATCCGAATCCCAAACAAGAATTTTTCTTCAAGTATCAATTTGCCATGGGACCTTTTGAAGAATACCTGTTTTTCTATAGCGTTTCTGGCGTAAATCAATTGCTCATCACCCAGCAGCAGAGCGAGATGCGGATTCAGGGCCGTTGCTTGAATGAAGATTCCATCAAAATTCGGATCATTTGTATCTAGCACAGATGCAGTACGTTTCTCCAGATCCTTTTTTAGCTCAGCCGCTAAATCACCAAGAACCCCAAAATCCTGAAATAAAGAAAATATTAAGGAAATTATATCACTGACAGCAGCATAGAGGATCTTTCAGGGGAAGTACTTTCGATAATTTTGTGGATTCATAACTGAATAAACAGCAACGCGCACCAGACTAGCCGGTGCGATCATGCGTTTTGTGCAATTCAGCCCATCG